GAGGAAGCGCGTTAAGCCTGCAACATCCGGAGTTTGCGCTCTGCGCGGGTTTAGACGTCATTAGAGCCGCAGAGCCACAAAAATACGTTGGCGGTAAACTCCGCAGGAGCTAACGCTAGCGTGCCTCAACCGGAAGCAGGCAGCCACCTGCAGTGTGGGCAAGTAACCAACCTGTGTGGGGCGGATAAACCAACGCTTAGGGTGGCCTGCAAGCCTCGCGCCAGTGCGTATCGTCTATCTATGGAACAGCTGCTCAGTGGAGAATCGGGTGTCCAGCCTCAATATTTAACCCGGCGCCATGCTGCGCCCGCGCTCTCATTCCAGTTTTGCACATCGGGTTAGCTTGTACGTGTTATGTACAAGGAGGGTGTACGCGAGTAGGGCCGAGAATGCCGGGAAAGTGCCCCACAGGGCCAGACAATCGCACGGCTGTAGGCACACGCGTCGCCACCGACCGGCGTAACTTTTGTGGCGTCAGGCCATTGGACGGTAATTGTCACGGGACAGAGGTCCGACCGGCGCGCATCACGCGCGCTGGGCTTCGTATTTCTTGCCGTTCTAAAGCCCCAGTGTTCCGAAAGGGAAAAAGGTCTGCCGCGAGGTGGTTTTAATTATAGCACATCATGTTTAACTGTACATAATCTTTGAATATATTATTTTATATTTCGTGTATTGACATTATTTCTTATTTCACCTACGTCACGGACTCGAACCTTTTTTTTCTTAATTGGTGGCCCAGCGGTTTTATACGCAACCCCACGGCGGGAGTAGTTAGGGTAACCACCAAATTTCTTTCTTAATTGGGCTGGCGCCAGCGGTTTTCGACGAAACACCACGGGGTAGTTCAGTGGTAACCACCCAAATATTTGTCCTTTAAATGGTGGCAGCGGTTTTTTACGAAACCCACGGGGTTAGTAAGGTACACCCACCCAAAAATTGTCTTTAATTTGGTGGCCAGCGTTTCGTCAGCGAAGCCCCACGGGTGGAGTTAGTGAACCCATCCAATTTTTACTTTAATTGGTTGGCAGCCGGTTTTTTACCGAAACCCACGGGCTGAATAAAGTGTTACCCACCAATTTGTTTTCTTAATTGGTACGGGGGTTATTAAAGTGTAACCACCAAAAGTTTTTCTAAGTCTGGTGGCAGGTGGTTTTACGAAGACCCACATGTGGCAGCAGTTCACTAGTAACAACGGCATAGAACGCGGAAAGTACGCTGTTTTGCAACCGCGGGACGGCAGTGCTGCCTTGAGCATTGGTGCGCGCTGGAATACCCTGAACAGTACAGCGACGCTTGTGCATTCGGAAGTGTTGTGCCACTCGGTTCCGTATATCACTGCGCGTGCGCGCTGTCGGCACGACCACACGTGTAAAACGAATTGGTGCGGGTAAGCGTAACTTCGCGTACGGAAGAGTTTCGGGCCGGTACCAAGTCCACTCGGAAACCTTCTTTTCTTTCTATAATTAAACCTGGAAACTGGAACCTGGAACGGAAGCTAGGCTAGTGTATGGTACTGCGCTACATGGGTACTGGCAACTGGGCATAGAAACATTCCCCGGTAACGACCGAACGAGAGGCAAGGACGAAAGGACACCGCATCCAGGCAAGCGCGCACGCGACACCGAGGTCAACAGAACCGTAAGTTGTAGTTTTTTATACCAGTCGCGTTGATCAAGTTCAATCACACAACTGGTCTCTCAGCGGCGGTATCGGAAAGAGCAGGTACTTGTGAAAGGTCGCCGATGGAGATGGGGTCGAAATTCTCTGGATAAGAGGACCGACAAACTGTCGTAAGCGTTTAAAGGTATTATCACGAAGATCGGAAGCGCGCCATACGATGCAAGGCTATTTGTCTAGACAACTCTGCCGATCACAGCGTGCACAAGTAAACAGTCGCTGAATCACCGCAATTCAACGCTGAATCACCTGAATCACGCTTCTCGAAAGAGCCGAGAACGGCCAGCGCGAATCTCGCAAAAAGACGGCAGTCGCAGCCAATTCGACGATAAGGAGCCGAGACGGCCATTACGAACTCGAAAGGCTTTGAAGTTAACCGAACAGCCTTACTCGCCGCGAATTCATTGCTTAGTTAGCAGATTACGGGCCGAAACCAAAAGTAAACTCGTATTAAATCAGGTAATGGTTTACGATTTTAAAGGCGAGAGGTCAGCGAATACTTACCTTTTTTTAGCTGTTTCCGATAGCGCAATGCTCGTCAGCTCGACATTTGCCGCCAGTCGAATGGCGTGTACAGTCATAATTGGACTGACTTCCAATACTGAATCTATACTTGTTCAGTTGAGGATTCGCATCACAGAGCAGGCATTAATTGCACCCAGATCTCACCCAAATCTCAGGTTACTTAGACATGCCTATAAATTCACGCCCGAAAAAGTGTCGCTCAGATGTTTTAGCAGTCACGCCAAAAGGAGCAAAACTACTTGGAATGTTTATGCTCCCGCGAATTGACGAATTATTTTGCAAAAGTGGCGATTACTGGCTCGGAAAAGTGCAAACTTACGAGCCATTTATAGATCTGATAATGCTTACCGACCAGATTTGAAACCGGAAGAGACGACCGCGCGGACATACGTGCCCACTTCTTAGATGCTTTGCCGGGCGAAGTTGCCCAGTCCAAGATTATGGCCAGCGCAGGCTGCGACACCTACGAGCAACGAATCGATCTAAGTAGGGGTAACAAGAGAAGAGTTTTTCCAAATTTCAATAACAAGGGAGTCGCCTGTGCGCGCGGAGCAGCAAATGGAAGGCAACGCGAAAGGCGTGCCGTTCACTTCTAACCCGCCAGCGCCGTACAGCAGACAGCACCGCGGAATTCGGACAAACGCAGGCACGTCACGTGCTATTTGTGTAAAAAACCGGGCACATAAAGAAATATTGCCCTCAGCTTAAACAAATGGAGCAAAGTGTGTCACGCTCGTTACCAGACGGTGCGCAGAGATATTGTTAGGCTAGTTCCTCACACGTTTGTCGGCAACGTGATTTGCGGGGAAAAAGGAGGGATTACCATTCTTACGCGCATACTAGTGCTACCGTCGGGATCATTAATGCAACGGCAAAGACGTCATGCCTAATCAATATACAGGCGAGTCGTACGACGCGGTAAGCAGCCGCCGGACGCACGGCCGAGTAAAACTAGGCCGGTGCCGCCAGCGTTAAATTTTAGGTCCAGTTTTGGTAACTCTGTTAACAGAGGCCGCAGTCCGCGAAAAATTGGCGATCTAGAATACTACAATTAAGCAATCGGTCTGCCACGATGTTGCCGGAAATGAAGCAAAGCGTTCTTAGAACCGCAGTTCTTTGGGCAGACAGAACAGACCGACGCGGCAGGCACAGGTGCGGCGGCGCAACTGACATGGTACGAGCTTGTGAGTCCAGACGGCAGAAGGGGTCTGGGCGGCGGTTAAAGCTAGCGGAGCTTGCAGAGATCGCCGGCGGAGAGCCGGCATCGCAGTACCTGCAGCGAGACGAGAACAAGGAAAACAGTGTAATTTCAGCGGCGGCGAGGTTTGGACGAACCAGGCAGCAAAAGCAATTGTAAACGCACGCGGAGAGTTGAAGTATAGATTCTGTGTGTGTGTTGCTTTGGCCCGTATTGAGCCCGGCGCGAATTGGGATAAAAATCTCAGAGGCAGGATGAAGAGCTCACACCGCTAATCAGAGCCTAGCGCGAAAGGCACGGAGGCGGAACGGCGCGAATATTTGATAGAAAGCCGGCCATAATTTGTTCGGGGAAACCGGCAAAGCCCAGCGCGGTGAGAGATTTTCCATGCTTGTGACTCCGCGTAAGTACCATAGTCAGTTGGCACGATTTTGAAACTGCTGCCATGAAGTTTGCTCACGGTCATTTTTAGAGGTCACGAGAAGCAAAGAGCGCGACCACTGGCCGCAAGCTATTTCTTTTGGCCGGAACTGCTTGTAAAGTATATTTGGAAAATTTTGTTGGCAGCAGCTTGCAGATAGTTGCAAACAAGTACGCAACGGCGCGCAGGAACTTCGCGCCATATTAAAAAATTGAACCAACATCTGCGCCCGAGGCGTTCGAGGAGAGTAAATGTCGGACGCGTGTGGCCCATTCCGCGGGAGTCTTAGAGTTCAGGAAAAATGAATTTCATATTCACAGGCCAATGTGTTATAGGATCACGAAATAGGTAGTCCTGAGAGCAGGTTCAAGAAATTGATGCTTAGTAGACTGTGTTCAGTCGGAATTGGATTGCCTGCGAGAGGCAGATCAAGGCCATCAAGGACTTGTTTCACAGATACACTGATGGCGGAAATTCGCCGCAAAGGTTCTGCATTAGACTATTAGAATCAAAACTGAGTATTTTCCTTTGCCATATCGGGGAAGAAACGTATTGAAACAGGTGTTGCAGCAGCGAAAAATCAATTAGTGAATTAAATCTCAGTAATGCTTTGTGGCAAGTAGTTCTTACGGATAGGGCGCAGATTATTCGGCGTTCGGACCAAGTTTCGCCGTATCGGCCGCTTTAGGCTGCCCTTTGGGATAAAAACGGCCCTATCAATGCTGTAAAATTATGGGCACCTTTACTAAAAATTGTCAGGAATTCGCGTGCCGTAGCCTTGACGAAATCCGCTGTGTTTAGCAATTCTTGGTCTGAGCACATACGGCATCTGGAGACCAGTTTTTCCAAAATTTTAAAAAATGTGCCCAAACTAACGTACAGCCACGCAACGTGATATTGTTCGCGCGCGCTGACGTGAAGTACAAGTACAGGCTATTCAGAATTTTCCCAACCGGTAGCCAAAAACAGGTGCGTTCTACTCGGCATTTGTTCGGTACTATCGTAGATTGATAACCGGGTTTTGCGCAGACAAAGCGGACGGCAACTGAGACAGATGCGTGCGGGGGGCGTGAGCGCCAAGGCAAAATTGTATGACGGACAGCATGTGACGGCTTCTTACAACTGAGCTTCGGGCAAGGCGCTCTGTGAAAAGACACGCTGATGTATGCACCGGATTATTGCTAAAGAATTCAGATTCAGGCTGAGCTTCGAAGAGAGCTATAGGTTGTAGTTCTTTATCAAATTAATGAGCGAAGGTAGAGAACAACCGTGAGTATTTTGAGTCGTAAAATTAAATGAGGCCTGAATCCAATTATGGGACGACAGAAGTCGAGTGTTTGGCCTAATTTGGGGCTTAAGATAAACTCCAATATATCTCGACGGGCAAGCCACGATTTCATAATTGAAACTGACCACAATCCCCCTAAAGTTTGGTTACCGTAACAACGGCGGGCAAAAAATCCAGATTATTACGGTTGGTCTTTATTAATTCAGCATCTTTGACTTAAGAATCAACACAAAAGGGTTCTGAGAATGTAAATGCCGATGCGCTTAGTGCAATGTACGATGAATGAATTGGATCTCTGGCAGGTGAGAGAACTCACACGTTCGTGACACTGTATAAATGTCGGTGAAAATTGAATGGTAAAATAAATTGTAAATTCAAGGGTATTTCAAATTTTGTTTTTGTGTTTATTGTTTTTCATATGTAGATGCATACATGCGACCAATAAATCTAGTCTTATGGCGGCACATGACTGTATGTCCAGATTTTTTGTAATTGTATATTAGCAGAATATTCAATGTACTTTATTTTTCAGAATTAATTTGTACTTCAAAAGCTATCTGGGTACTACTATTGTAAATAAAAGGGTATATATATATATCTCTCTCTTCCTCCCCCGCAGCGTACTTTCACCAACCTAACGGTTCTGGCCCTCGTGTTAACGACGCCACACTAATGTCCAACATTGTTGAAAAAATTAAAAAATAAAAATAGTAATAATAATAATAATAATAATAATAATAATAATAATAATAATAATAATAGAAGACGAAGAAGAAAAGGAATAAAGAAGAAATAGAATGAAGAAGAAATAGAATGAAGAAGAAAGTAGACAAGAAGACGTTTCCGTAGTGTAGCGGTTATCACGTGCGCCTCACACGCGCAAGGTCCCCGGTTCGATCCCGGGCGGAAACATGTTTTGAACGTAACAGCGAAAGAAAATGGAAGCGTTGGGCATGAAGAATGATGATCTCACAATCCCCTCATCGAGGCCTTCTAGAATTCACTTTAAGTACTTTTCTCGTGCTTGTTAAATAGTCTACTAATTTTTGGATTATTTTTCCCTTTGCCTCGCTACCAATTTTCGCACAACTGCACTGTTTCATTCTGATTTCGAAGGAAATTGTATAATCGTTAGAAATGTGAACAGATCGAACTTTATTTGAGGAGGGTGGGGAAGTTGTGGTTTATAAATGTTATTTTTTTATTAAATATTTGAGAAATGTCTGGAGGGTGGTTTCCGTGGTGTAGCGGTTATCACGTCCGCCTAACACGCGGAAGGTCCCCGGTTCGATCCCGGGCGGAAACATTTTTTGAATATTTATTGGTAATACCTTGGCAAAGGAAATGAAATCCGGTGGTATCAGAAACACAAAAAATGACCACCCTTGTGTTAAGTACCTCTGTGGCAAGGACGGATGCAGAATCTACCACACAAAATTCGGCACAATACTCACATTAAGAGGAAAATCATTAATTTATTATAATGCCAAGAGTAAATGTATTAGCTATGGCCATAATTTAATTACCTAAAATGCCCGTGTTAAACTATGCAATGAACATTATGGAATTTATCAAAAAAAAAAAAAAAGAAAGAAAGAAAGAAAGAAAAAGACAGCGTGTCATAAAAATAAATCAATTGTTGAAAGTAATTTCACCTTTTTTCCGAAAGCGAGGTAAAATATTTACTTTCGCTGCAGAAGTTGTATCAGCGACTTGCGTTCTTTCATAACAAAACAGAACACTACTAGCATAACTTTTAATTCGCAAATATTTAGAATTCCATTTTAGACCTGTTGTTTAAAGTACATGCAGTTCCTGTCTACCAAAAAGTATTGCTTAGGCTCATAGGTAGGATGTGTAGGCCTGCGCACCGCGCCCCCTACGTCAGCTACGTCTGCGCAGGTGGGGGTGGGGGGAAGGGCGCCGCGAGGAACTCGCCCGCGGGCAGAAGGGAAGCCACCCTGGCCGCAGAGAACGGAGGTTCCTTTCCCTGTGCCCTTATGCAAGAAGTCTGAGTCACGAAGGTACCATTGCTGGCCACCTCACAGCCACCGCGCTGGTGAAGTGCAGCGTCAGCGATTCGTAGTCAGTCAGCACCACGGTGAGTGCACACAGCATTGTTATAGAGAAGACACGTTTCGTTTCTACAAATAATTGAAGGTTCAAGCTCTTTAAACGTGCCCAGTGTGTGAAAGAGAGTCAGAGATTGCAAAGAAAAAAATTACCCGCGTGTTTAAAAATGTAGAAAAGGCTTGGAAATTACGAAATAATGACACATTTAAAAACATCCGTGAAGATAATTTCCCAAAAAGGGTCCAAAAGATATGTACGAGTATTTGCATATTTCGGGAGTTATTTGTGGGATGAGTTTAGGTTATTAGTGTTCATAGTGTATAGTTTCATTTTCCTGTTTTCTAATAGTAGAAGGGTAATTTAACAGCTCCTGTAAATGAGAGATTTGAACCTCTTTTCACAGAAAACTTTGAATTTCCAAAAACCTGCATATGAAGTCATTTGAAGCCTTCCAGACACAAATGCAAGCATGTTTACAAATCGCTGGAAATGTGCGTGCGAAATGTGCGTCGTGAGAGATCTTACAAAATATTATTTTATTGTACTTTTTGAAAACATAAAAAATACCTCGAAATGAACCTTGTCATATTAAAAGGTGCAATTAGCATTATTCCTTCGAAACGTTTGAAGAAAATATTTGGACCCGTTCTTGAGAACATGGCATTTGAGCTTTTTTGAAAATGCGGAATTTTGAGCTAGTTTTGGCAGAAAATGGCTGCGTTTTCCACAAACTTTATTTGACATTATGCAAAACACATGTACTCATAAATAAAATAATGTGAACAAATCGCCACCTGTGTAAATATTATCGACGTGAGAGTCCAACAAATTACATTTTTATAATTTTTCAAAAACAGCAACAAAAGAATAGAGCAATATGTCGTCTATGCCATCTTATAGAGTACATTTAGCACTATCCCTACCAAATGTTTGAAGAAAACAGAGAGGAGCGTTTTGACAAGTTTGGACAAGTTTTTGAGAAAATCTTGTTTGTTTATTTTTTTAAATTACACATTATGCATGCAATGATGAATAAAACTACTAAAATTTTCAAAACAAAATGCACATGACATTAGTGAAATAACTCACTACGGAGAACAAATTTTGTTTGAAAAAAATTATATCTTTAATTTTTAGTTATAAGAAGACACACAAAAATATTCACACTTTTGAAATTTTCAGAAATTCAGAGTTAATCGTGAAAAACCTTTGCCACGTTTTAAAGTGTATGTTACTATATTATTAAAAGACATTTAAAATAATTTTGAGCCGTTTTTGAGTAATTTTGAAAATGTCCGATGGGCTTCGTGTAAAGTACCCTCAAATTTTTAAGAATATTTTTTTAAAATCGCAGAGCTTCGACTCAGGCTAAATGGACAGATGTTTCTTCAATTTGGAAAACATCATACGTACGGTTTAGGCGCTAGTAGTGTTCAAAGACACCAGACGGACCGTCGTTAAAACTCAGTATCAGGGGACCCTAAAACGCTGTTGAAATCTCGAAATCGATTTTCTACAGCATTACATAACTTTCCCTATACTACGTATATTGCTCCGTATATACGTACGCATACGGGAGAGTAACAAAATGGCGATGTTTTGTACAAATCATATTCAAACAATTCAGAATAAAAGTAACTCATTCAAACAGTAACAATGCAATAAAAAATTAGGTAAATCAAACTCCACCAAATGAAATGCGTCTCCGGTAATCATATTTACTGACGATCTAAAGGTGTCACCACTGGAAGTCAACGCGCCAACTTCCTCATCGAAGGTCATTTCTTTAAGTATATTTAGGTTCAGGAGAATTATTTGCATTCATCTTTTTTCAAATCACAATAGACGAATGTTGTTTAAATAGATATATCGCAAGCAACTCCCCACCATATCGTAGTAACGAGCGGCAGCGACAGAATACATTTGTTTACAATCGCAGTAATGTAAATTTTCGCACATGCGTGAGATTTTTGAAGATTGATAAAATGCTAAACATACCGAAACGAACAATGCTAAACATAACGAAATGTTAGTGTTGCAACTGCCTCATTCAAAGTGAACTCTCGCCTCCGCCATGCTTCGCCGTGATTTTTAACTTTCGGCCTCTACTGTAATAACACTCACTGCATTTCTAGGTGTGTTAATAGATAATATATTGTATATGCAAGTATAAGTAACTACAAATATCCTGAATAGATTTTTTTATGAGGAATGAAACCCCAACATACTTGAATACTTGTAACATAGCATGTAAGAATTACGAATACCATTCAATTCACGTGGTAAATCTAGAGCTATTTGTAATAAAAGTATCATAAGACAAGATATATCATTTTTCGTTGTTTCCATGACTTATGTATTAATGTCACATTCGTTTGAGGTAGTTTAGACGAAAGAGACACGAAGAGAATATCGTGAACACATTTTCCAAAACTGTGAGCACGAAGGGATCTGTCAATTGAAACTACTTTTTTTCACGACTTACAAGAACTCAATATTTTTAGTTTTTGTGCAAAATAAAGCGTTGCTATATTACTTAGCAAGTGATCTTTACTTCGAAACAAACAGTCCACCATTTTCACATATTTTTCTAGGACATTCATTTGGGGTGGTTTCCGTGGTGTAGTGGTTATCACATCCGCTTTACACGCGGAAGGTCTCCGGTTCGATCCCGGACGGAAACATTTTTATCGGTGAGAAAAATCAGAACGCAGTCAACATTCCACAACATTTTCTTTTCTCTGATTGCAGATAACATACTTCTCAGGAGGAATTGTTATAATTCAATGCTCTGTGGTACCGCAATGATTGGGTAGTCTTCGCCAAGTCCAAAAGTGTTTTTGAAGTTCCATTTTCCCTTTCGATCGTTCGAGTATTTGCTTCGTATACATAAATCTGTGGTGTTTGGTCACAACATAAGTTCAAAATCACTGTTTTCAAATATCAACATTTTTAGTTTCTTTGCTATTTTTAAAACTCAAAAATTAAACATTTATAAATATACAAATGGAAACATGACCGTTGCTTCACCATAAGTTTGTTATTTCACCATAAGCATGCGTGAGTGCACTTATTTCACTTTTAAATAGTTATAATTAGTCAGAAATGGAAATGTATTAACATGTTTTGTTGAATAATTCAGACCCATATAACATTTCATCTAGTTTCCAACACCCTAATCCCACTCAGTCCTCTTACACAGTAAAACACGTGTTTTAATACTCATGTTTATTACCATTAAGCTTCTTATTTTTTGAAATATTATTCGCGATTTAAAATCATTTACTTTATAATACAATGTTTTTAGATATTTTATTAAGTTCCATTTGTCCTATATTTAGACATTTTGAGGTTTGAGATCAGAGATACAAATTAGAGAATCAGAAACAAATATATGTATTTCTCATAGTTATTGTATGATGTAAGAGGATGTCATTTTAGTGTTTTCCCTTTCGCTTCATGTTATAATTTATATAATGAATAAAAATATATTAATGTTTTAAGGGAAAGTTAAACATTCTAGTTAATTTTTCACAAATTTGAAAATTGAAATATTTCGAATAGTCTATCGCCAAATACCAACTTCTTGTAGTACGTATGTTGATCAAATATCCTAATTTGTTTGCCACAAGAGCTGTAAGTTAGTGAGAAATTAATACATTAAAGATGGAACCGAACCGGAGACCTTCCGGCTTTAGACGAATATGCTAATCACTATACGCCAGAAACCAAAGATATTGTTTCACAGATATATTAGGTTCTCATGTTGTTTATTAACAAGCGAGGCAAATATTAATAAGTGTAACTAATATAAAATATTGTCGCACAAAAATATAAATGAAAGTTAGAGGAACAGTACTATCATGGATTCAATTGGGATTAGGTTAAGATTTTAGAACGAGATAACAATTACATAAAAACTGCACATCTCTAGAATGGACATCACTTTAAAAATTCAATTAAATTTAATGGGTTTTTCCTCTTTAATAAATATCTAGTTAGTCAACCCGTTGAAGTTACGAGCTTCAATCTGTCTTCTCTCCCTGCCATCTTGTTTGTTTACATTCTACGTATGCTGTTCTTATTCTTAGATTTGGATGTGAGTTACATCTTTGGACCGTATATCTTAGTGTTATGTTTCTTTTCATAGCTCTTTGTAAGTAACTTAGTGCTCAGTTTTATTCTGAGAGTGACCTTATCTCCAGACTTGGAGAGAATCTCGTACTGGCAATACTGGCTCGCATACTGAATGCTTACTGGCTCGTGGACTGTATCCTGGTTGTTTCTGCGACATAATTGTGTTTTATATTATTTTTACATCACTAGGTAACACCACAGTTTATTGATTCCTTCCAGAGTTAATTTTTATATTTTATTTTCAATTTGTTTTTTAATTAGATTTCATACCATAATATAATTTTCATTGACTTCCATCCAGTTTGTGAGTGTTGTATTAAAAGGTTAGCAACTTGCATGTCACAGAATACTCTGTAACTGTGATATGAAGTATGTATGAGACTAATGAACTCTAAATTTAGTTCCACTTGATGAGGACCCCACTCCCAACGGTTGAAACCACATAAATGTTTCCTGTAGGGATTTTATCAGAAAACAAAATTGTATGCTATTGTTTGTAGACATGGTTCTAATCATATATTAAATTAAAGTCTTTGATTATTTTATATGTTATGTTTTTTTGTGTATTAATTGAATTTATTATTGCAATATCAATTTTTAAAAGGTTAAATATTTTTCAGCTGTTAGTTTTATTTTGTATCAATTTTGATCCCACGTGTTTAATATTTCAATGATTTTGAGGGAGGAATATTTTGATTATAACGATTTTGGACCGAATATCTGATACAGCATCTCCCCAAATTTAGGTAGGCTCACAGCCGTGGACACTGTGTCCTTCAAGACACTAAATAAGTTTCCATTCTTTATTAGAGATGTTCCATCTAAATGCTTACCAACAATTTGTTCTCTTTGAAACTCTATCCAGTCACCCAGTTTGCACGATATACTTAAGAACTGTCGCACTAGTT